GCGTGTGCGTTACAAGCGACACAGTGAAACAAATGACGAGACGAACGAGTGAATCGACGCTGCGGGATAAAATTGTATCTAATCGCGTGTATTTGTGTCACCGGTTTTGCAATGCGAAGGACGAGATATTTTTAAGAGACTTCGGTGACAATAATGTGGTAAATTGCCTGAGACTTTTAGCTCGCGTTTGTTTACACGGTGTATATACGTAAAGTTAAAACACACTGACACTTTTCAGCGGAACGGTGAGATATATTCTATAACATAAATTCCCTGAGTGACTATTTGTGATTATCTAGCTTTTCAGTTAATCTGTTTTTTGTTTATATGACGCTACGTTGCGCCTCTCATAATTTATCGTGCACTTCGTAAAATTGATAGAACGTGCAAGATATTCGTTCGGTACGAAACATGTGACACATAGTTTTTACATGTAGACTTTCAATTCACAATCTCGATATTAATAACAGGCTCGTGATGAGGCACAATGCATGCTGCACCGCTGAATCAGCGAATGCCGCGCCGCTTGATTTATTTCGGCTGAAAAAAGTGTTGGCAGAGAGAATGACTTGTCGGCGTTCAGCCGTCGCAAAACACGCCACGTCGTTATTATTAATTGCGGGAGAAAAAACACGAGAATAATGTTTTTCTCTCAGTGTTCTCGTCGTTTCTCCCGTCGGCTTGGGCGATTTTTCAATCTCAGGGTAAACAGGATGGAAGAAGAAAGAAAGGAGAATTTGCACGGGAACATGTGTTGAACAAATGAACACGATTCCAACGCCGATCGTTGACCGCTGCGCGACTTAATCAATACCACGCTGTATCATCGATACCATCGAAGGTATCTATGATTGCAATCAACGTTGTATGAAAACAAATGTTTTTTACACAATATTTTTTCGCACACAATAATAGCGTGTGTGAAAACATTCCAGTTTACAGTCGTTACGGTTTTTAATTCAAAAAGAATGATATCGACAAGCTCTCACGCATGCATGAAATTTGAAGCGTGTGAATGCTGTAACTCTATTTTCGTTAAAATAGAATTATGCTTATGTATAAAGTGTTGCCGGCGCTGGCGATATTTCCCGCAGACGCTCTGTGTATCTTCGGGAGTGTTCCGAGGCGATCAACAGATACCTCAACGCGCGCGCGATCTTTCACAGCAAATATTACACAGATATTATATATTTTTGCGAACTTTTTTCGCACGTCATATGTTTTTACGAGTACTCTGGATAGAGTTACATCACTCACGTGCTCTGTGTGAGTCATCTTTCTTTCATATCTCGAGCGAAGGAGGAGCGCAGGAGAACGAGCCTATGAAGTGAGAATCGCCGATCGGAGTCCGTTTATTAATAATCGTTACTTGAAACTTGTCCCATGCGAGACGCTCAGATCGGAATTTCAAGTTAAATCGGAGTTTTTCAGCTTAAACTTCACGATACACGTGACATTACATTTGTAATCGCGATTCAATTGGAAAATTCGGATTCTAACTCTGAATTCAAACCTGAGTATCTCACTTGAAAAACAAGTTCCAAGTGACGACTGTTAGCACAGGTGTAAGAACCCCGCGGGTCTAATTGTGGATATCGTGATAGAAAAAATTCGAAGCCCCGCGATCGAGAGGTTACATTGTCACTCAATAATCGCGTCACGAGTCTCGGCCGCGCGAAGTTCCTTATTACGCCTGTCTCGCGAATCGTCCGAACAATATCGTAAATTCAATACTTTACGATCGGGTCTGGTGCAAGGAGGAGAATCAATGTCATGTAAAACGCTCGCCGTTACACATGGCGCGATCAGCTTTACGCGCGGATTCGCGCGTGTGCACCATCCGGCGAAGGTGTCAAAGACGGGGCATACATAAGAGTTGGCAGATTTACGAGCCGCACGAGTCTCTCTCTCTCGCTCGCTTGAGCGCGACTCCCGTGCGAACAACAATCCATTACCGAATTCCCGTTCCCGCGTTCGCCCGGGAACCGCGCGCGGACGCTCGTGCGGAAATTCGCGAGCGCACGTTCTCGACAGCCAATAACTGTACCCGGTCGACGTTCTAACGTACGAGCGTCTCATTAAAGAGACGCCTCTCGCTCGCGATCTCCCCGTGCGAATCGCGCCGCGGAACTTCGGCGGCTGGTTCCTTTTTCGCTTTGCCCCCTCCTCCCTCGCACAGCCATAAATTTTAACTCGGCTTTAAGTCGCTCGACAGCACACTTACCAATAATGTGGTGGTACTTCTCGACGAACTGCGCGGTACTTTGAATGCCCATGAGTGCCGGGTCGCCGACGTTGGTGGTGTACCAGGATGCGGAATATCGCGCGTCCAGCTCGACGTAATTGACACCTGGCATCTGCTCCGTTGGGGTCCGTTGATCCGGAATTCGCGGATGTGAATTCGCTGTTCGATTCGATCGACAACGATCACGCCGTCGTCCCGCCGTTGTCGCAACGGCCGAGTGAAGTTAGCGCGGCGCAACGCCGCCGCCGCCGCCGTCCGACCAGGCGTCGACCTGAACCACTTCCCGAGCCACTATTCGGTGCTAACTTCGCGGATTCACTCGCGGAGCGTTCACCTCGCGACTCACCGCCGCGCGTGTCTCGTCCGCTGCAGATGAATCACTGATCTTCGATCTAGGCCGAGTCACAAAGCGCACGTTTGCTCCACGAGGGGAGAAGAACGGCGTTGCAATTCACACCACGATAACCGTCCTGAAACCGTGTTATCTCGTTATCGGCCGTATACTTGGCGAGGACGCTCGGTAAGTTGCCTAAGTCAATCTGTCAGGCAGAAAACGGTAGGAACACGAGGAGAGGGAGTCGTAAAGCGGAAGGCGAAGAATAGAATAATATACAAGCCAGGAACGCCCGCTGTGAAATGTTCTGAGATTAATCAGAGCTTAATCGATGTTGAGAGAGTGAGTGAGTGAGATAGAGAGAGATGGGGAAGGGAGGGAGAAAGAGAGAGAGAGAGGATAGAAAAATCGCTACCTTGCGTATTATGCTTTCTTCCAAAAGAATAGAGGGGTTATGAAATTGTGTTAATAGCGGTCACGATATAACAAAAACGTTACGTCCAAACAAATATTATCTTAATGAGTTTGTTTGGATAGATTTTATTACAGACTGCATTTATCGTGAATAGAGCATCTTTAGTATGGATTAATCGAAAGAAATAAGGATAAATAAAAATTAGTCGCCATACCGTACCCGGACAACATAATGTCGTAAAATCGTCAATAAGACGTCTTTCAGACACCTTATGTCCCGATTTTTGACATTATGTTGTCTGAGTAACAACTAAAATTTCCCTCGTCAAACGAGGAGAAAAAGATTGGTTGAATTAACGTGACGATGAACGAACGAAAAGCATTTTCGTCGAAGGAAGGAAATCGTTTCCAGTTTTAAGAATCAAATTTGATTTTATAAGAACCGGAAATTCTGTTTCTTTTCGAACAAAAACGCGCTTGTCTCTTCTCTCCGTGCAGTGCGAGAAAAGTCGCAACCCTTTCTCTGTCAACGAATTCCGCGACGCGTCCGGTGCCCGACAGGAGAATATGTGTCTCCACATCCTATTGGTCACCTGGCGCGTCCCGAAAGCTCGTCGAAAGGAGAAAGTGCCGCAAGCTTCCTTCCGCTGGCCGTGTCAACGAGCATCCTCTCACCTCTATTATCTAGCGATCAGAGGACAGATGTGCCAAAACGGTGCACGTGCGATGTTCTCGTCGGATCGGCGAATCGTGCGTCGCCCGTCCTCCTCGATCCAACCGACCGCACAACCGTTTGCGTCACTCCTATCGAACACCACGAGACGCGTGTCCCTCGAGCAGCCGATACAATTTTGAGAATCGATCGCACCGATCGACAGTATCGATCGATACCGAGTAATCGAGAGCCCAACCGTCGAGTCCAGACTTCGCGAACGCTCGAAGGATTAAGTTGGCGGGCGCGAATCGTTCCTCCCTGCGGCGCACGACGACATCGGGGACCGATCTCTGGGGCGCGACGTACAGATCCCGACGACCGTGAATTCCGGTCCACCCAGAACGCGACGACAAATCCGAGGGCAACTCGCGAACTCCCCCGGTCTCCGGAGATAACGAGGTGAGTGAAGTCGTCAAGGACGGCGACGCACGAGATTTCACGAGATCCCCGTGGGATCCATCGGATCCATGGATCGATGCTGCCAGCCGATTCTCCCGGGTATGGGGATCCTACCTATTCCGGCATCCACAACCACCGGGTCGACACGCTCAACTACTGAACGACGCGCTCTGTTCTCGCGACTGGCGGCGAACGGACGCGGCGGCTGCTGCGAGCGCGATCAACTGCTGCTGCCGAAGAAGCGAGCGAGCGAGCGAGCGAGCGAGTGAGCGAGCGAGTGAGCAAGTGACCGAGTGAAAGAGAGAGAGAAAGAGAGAGAGAGACCGAGCGAGAGAGAGAGAGAGAGGGAGCGCTTGGACCGATAGACATTGGCAGAGAGCTCTGGGACTCTCGGTGCTTATTTTAAAACCACTGTCCTTCCAACTCGAGCGACCGTCCTGCGGCCGCGACACCACGGTACCGTAGCGTAATCTCCGTAGCCGCGGCCATACCGCCGTAGCGTGTAACCGGCCTTGTTGGCAGACCACTCCTCGCCAATGTAACGCCTCTGTCAAATCGACCCCCGTCCGAGTTCACGGGGATGATTGCTGCCGCGGTACGACAGCCGGATGTCGGGTGGAGGATGTGTAGGAAGACTGTGAAGTAGGAAGATAGGAAGCGATGAGTACATGGGACGGGCGACAGCGGAAATCTTTTTGTAAGAAAAGTCTTCGAAGCATAATGAAACGGGCAACGGAAACTGTAATGACTTATTATTTCTTGAGTAACGATAACGGTAACGAGTTATTTTTTTATAACGATAACGAAATAACGATAACGATTTATTTCTTAGTGAGAGTAATAATTTTTCCAATCCTGCTTGTTTGTGTGTTTCAGTTTGAATCGGAGAGAGTAACTACAATTTGCGAGAGAGAACAATTTGCACGTTGGAGAGTCTGCGGAAAAACACATGCCGGGAATGCAAAGATTAAACTGTGAGTACACGCTCGTCTGTCTTATGTGTTTACGTGCGTATTATGATGATACCTGTTGAATACGAGCGTGGCACGAATGAAGGTCCACGAGAACTTTGCAGAAACGAGAACAGAGTAGACAATAGTATCCGCGTAATTATTACAAAACTGAAAGTAGTTTTCTAGGTCTGTTACGTCTTGCCGGCGGTAACGCGACATGACGCTCATACGATGGCGTCCGATTTATTGGCAGGTTGTCTCTGACTTGTGAGATAGATAGAGAGAGAGAAAGAGAGAGAGAGAGAGAGAAAATTGCTCTCATACGCACGTACATACGCCAACGAATAACATGGATAATAAATTATAATAAGATCCACGGGTGCCATATGAAATAACAAGCGCACGTTCGTCACGTAAATAGATGTAAACCTACATTCGGGTGATTCGGTGTAAAATTATCGCGTTACCTTGTAAACGAACGATTTCTGCAAACTGTCGCAACGAGAGTTGCAAGAAGTCAAATCTGTTTAAAGTTCAAAGTAGAAATACGTTTCTCGTTCCGAGACAAGTGCAACGTTTTGCAATGAGCTTGCACAATTAACAACGTAATTAACGATGTAATTTTGTCGATAAAAAAAATTAATATAATCTAACAGCGGAATGATCTCTCGATTGAAAAAACTCCGTGCTGCGGAGCTTCCCGGAACCTGTAATATTTCGAGCGATTCGTAATCTCTTCCTCGTAATATCCGAGAAACGGTGTCATTTTCCGCTTCTTAACATCTCCCTGGCGATGGTTGATTAAATTTTCCTGCAAATCCTCTCGCTCGGTTTCCTCGTCTTAATTTTCGCGATACCGCGACTCATTGTGTACGCGGTAGACCGATTTGGATTCTTTCGCGGAAGCTTTTTCGCCGGTACGGAGCACAAAGTGTGGGCAATGACACTTCCTGAGAATAAAGTGACACGAGATCCGCGCGGGATCGTTGTCACCGAGCCGTTTCTGGATTTCGCTGAAGCTCCAGAGCCCCATAAGTTTATTAACTTCCTTTGAAAACGTCAAGCTGTCCGTCCGCTCGGAAGAATTCATTTGGCGGGGAACACGACAACGGTCTATGGAAGTCTCTCTCTCTTAGTCTTCTCAACGGTCCATGACTCCTCAAATCCGCCGAAAATCCTTGTATCCCCACAAGAAAAAAGATTCACGTTTAGCTTTTATTTCATTGATACGAATACACAAAGAACAAAAACATTTGTATCATACTCTTCATGTATAAACGAGAATATATATTTTTATATTCACTGGAAAATCTATATTCATGTTATTCAAGAATAATTTTCATGAATTGACAAGAAAAAAATATTCCATACACGGAGAAAAATAATTTCGTTGTATCGAAACCATCGTTGCTACGACATGTTATGCACGATATGTAAATTCACGGACCTCACAAAGAATTAAGCGCGAAAACGTCAGGTTGACGTCGCGTGTCGGGTGGAGGCAGCTTGAAGTGCGAAGCGAATATTTTACGACGGTAATTCTCAGTTTTACACGAGACAGGTCCGAGAAGTCTCCATCGTCGAAGACCCTTCCTATCCATCTGCAATTGAACTAATAACGTCTCTCTTTCTCTCTCTCTCTCTCTCTCTCTCGCTCACGCGCTTTCCAAATACCCGTCAAACCTCGGTTAATCTCAAAAAAAAAAGAGAGATAAGAGAAACGTTGCGACGTCGTCGCGTCGTTTCGCGCAAAGGCTGCCTCGCGCAATCACGATATAAGCGCGACAACGAGGATGTTCTGGATTTATTTACCGAGAGGGTACAGGCGTGATAGAGGAGAGTAAAAGGGTGAGAGAGATAGATAGATAGATAGATAGATAGAGAAAGAGAGAGAAGAAAGGGTTTCCAGTTGACATTTTATGCACAACGAGAAGCGCTCCCGACGAGAGCACTTTACGTCGGTAATTTTACACTTTGTACACCCCGGCAAGAGCGACTTCTCGCCATTCTGCGAATCGCCGAGATGTCCTCTCTCTCTTTCTTTCTCTCTCTCTCTCTCTCTCTCTCTCTCTTCCACTCCCGCCACGTCGAAATTATTTTTGCCCGCGGTCCCGCGCGGAGAACGCGCGCACCCAGCGTGAAAGTCAAAACACTCGCGGCGGGGCCCGCCGCTATATCAAACGTTTAATTGGACGCCACGTCGCGCCCGGCGATGCGAAATACCGGCGTAAATTTAATAGGACACCTGCTCACGCGTTTCCCGCATGCCGTCCGACGTAAAACCGCGACCACGTGCGAAGAGGTAAACGTCATCGTGGTCGCGTGCTGGTGAAAAAGTCAATACGGCAAAACGCATATCTTTCGATTCTCTCTGATAAACTGACGTCTCGAGTCTTTACATTAATAATACTCGATAAATAAAACAGAAGATGCGTTTCATGTAATTTTGAACCGAAGTAGTGATCGTATAAATTCTTCTTTGAGAGCGGAAGCGCGTTTCACGTAAACTCGACGACTTTAGCGATCGTGTAACTCTTCGAAGGACGGAAATGCGAAACTTTTCACTTTTCACGCCTTCGCTCCCGGGGAAAAGTTACATGAGCGCCGGCGCAGGTGTCTCGGGAAATACTTGGGCGAACGCAAGCAAAACGGAGAACACGGAGCGACGAGAGAATAAACGGTAATAGAGAGTGACTATAGAAATTCCTCGGGATCCCTGAAGTTGCAAAGGTTCATTAGCCATGTGAAAAAGTTCGCAGTCTGCGAGGAGTATCCCGAGGAAATCGGAGTCGCGGTGAATCTGCGGGATAACAGCGTCTTCGCCCGCATACGCGTGCGCGCCATTAAATTCAGCCATTAACTTTTCCGCGACACACGTTTCCTGCGTGCAGTCTCTCGGTTTCTTTGTCAACGAATCTACCTCCTCTTGTTTCTCTCTCCCTCTCTCTCTCTCTCTCTCGTTTCTTTCTCATTCTCTCCTTCTCGTCTCGCCTCGTCTCGGCTCAGGAGTACCGGGAATCTCGTAGCTGACCGAGAAGAAAGAGACGAGGCGCAGGAACGTCGCCTATAAATCACGTTAACGGCTTCTGGTCAGAGCCGATTACTATCTTGCCCTAACTCGCTCAAACAATAATTTGCTGCCGGGGCAGAAATTTACGGCGCAAACGGTGTCGGAGCCGCGGTGATTTTTAGCCGTTCCGTGGGACCTGTGACTTTTCTGCAATTTCTCGTGTGCCGCGAGTGTTTGGACTGGACAAAAGCGGGGTAGAAAGGCAGAGGAGGCGCGATAAAAGCGCGCGGAGTCGTAAATCTCGAAAGAGCGTCGCGGGTGCTTCCTCTTCGTGCGGGCTTCGTTTCCCTTGTTCATCCGAGATCCGTTATCCCCTTTCCTTATACTCTTCTCCACCGAGAGAGACGAGCTCGCGCCTTTATTCTCCCTGCGATATTCTCGCGACGTTCGCGCGCATCGTGCGCGTCTGCGGCCGCGTCTGCGGAACCTGAGCGATTCCGCGAAACGCCGCGATTTCGCAAAGCGTCTCTTTCCACCCACGTTCAGGTTCCATCGGACTTTAATAGAAACGGTCACCAGGGACAAATAGTCGAGCCCTCGATCTCTCCATCTTCCTGGCAGCCACTTGCCAGAAGTTGGACGTAGGAAGTCGTCTCCTCGAGCAGCGGCCATCGATCATCCGCTTAATACAAATCGGACTTGCACCGGGCTTCCCCGAAAACCGCGGTTTGGCGAGATATAATAAGCAGTATTCAAAGGAAAGAAAAATTGATGGCAATTCTTCTTGAATGAACGGACGACGGCTTCGTCCTTCGAACGGAGCGACGCATACGAGAGATCCCCGGGTTTCCACTCCCTCTTTTTAACGATTATTCAGAAAAGAAACTTGTAATTTTTCGTGCTCGATATTTAACGGGCAACTTGCAAAAGTTCGTCGGAACGCCGATGATTTCACTACCTCGACAGATGAGTCATTTCAAAGACGCGAAATCGGACAATTAGACCCGAAAGTTGGCGGAAAGTGAGGTAGACAACGATGACAGATGCTTTGATTGAACGTGTTTTGTCACTATTAATAATGGAAACATGACTAATGCTACAATTTTCTCTATATTTCAAATTTACATAATTTTATTTCCAATTGATCATGAAATTTATGAATAAGTCGTAAAATCGTAGCTTATCGAAGCAATCGTAAGAATCTGATTTACAGTTTTATGTAAACTGTAATTCTGCACTAGTATCTATATATCTATCGTTACATATTCATGGTTATAATGAGTAACCAATTTCAATTACATGTCCATTTGTGTGTGATTACGCGTAAAAAAAGATCATCGACTTATTTGCAGATTCAGACGTTTCGGTTATTTTAAATATGAAGTATATACTAATTGTTAAATTTGATGTGCAATTAAAAAATGTTTTATTCATATTTTTTGAAAATTACTAAAAGATTTTCCACAATACTTGTGACTTACAGACTTCTTGCTAGCCGTAAGATTTACGAAAAATCGTAGATTTACGAAAAATCGATATTTACGAATAGTCGCGATACGTCTTATGATACGCGTAGAATTACAGTTCCAATCATAAGTTCCTGCGAAAGTAAATAACGAGTCTTACGATATTGTCTAGAATTAAATATTGTCCAGCATAGAAATCCGACGAATTCTCCGTTGATCCCCGATAAAAGAGGAATTCAGTTTCCGCGGCCCGCGGAACGGAGAATAAGTTGGGACGAGATGAGACGCGACGCGAGGGTCAGTCCGTGATGAAGGCGCGAAGGTGTGGATATCCCACCGGCTGACCGTCGGGAAACGGCGTAACGCACGACGACTTCGTCTTCTTTCGTAGCGACGACGTCACGGTTCTATTTCTGGCCGTGTGGACGCAGCGATATCTTTAGAGCGACCATCGGTACAGTCTGTGTGTTTCTGAGCTTTCCTTCCTCCGAAGCCGAGAGAGCGTGCCAGTTGACGAGAGAAGCCGTGGTGGAGATGATTTATGCCGACTAAATCGGACCATTCCGCCACCCTTCCGTCCGAGCGTGGCGCCCTTAATTCCGCCTCGCCTGTATGCCTAGTTCGTGCGAGACGCGGCCCTCGCATTAGGTAGGAATCAAGATCCTATGGCATGGTGGAGACGACGAATTTAGGCGTGCCTGAAAGCCGCCGGCGATCGTTTTGCAATCCCGTGGTGAGATCAAAGTGTAGCGCCAACGGAAATATCGCGGGCGCGTGGCTCTCATTGTCGGCCGAGTTGATTAATGAAAACCCAGTTTAGAGAGAGAGAGAGAAAAGAAAAGAAAAAAGAAGATGAAACACGCTCGACCGCAATCCGCTGATGAGGCTCTTGAGACTCTCGGTGGGAGCTACTGAAAATTTCGATGGCTTCGCGCAAAGGGACGCACAAATCCGTCCATCTCGAGTTTTACGATGCTCTCAAAAACAATACGAAATTTCCAGTTTTCCAGGGTCCTATTTCGCGAGCTGACATTCGTTATACCCTTCGGCACGTCCCTACGTGTTTCGCGGGGTTTACGAGGATGAGCAAATGTACACTTCACGAAATAGGAGTGACATCAACACAGCAGCTGCGGAGCTTCATTAAAAAGCCCCCAACTGCTCGCGTTCTCCTCGCGCTTTTCGCTTTTACACCTTTAATTGTTCCCTCGGTGAACATTTTTCCATACTGAAAATTAAGGAAGCGAGCGAAACTCGCGCGAGTTATTTTATCGGATACCACGATTACTCCATAAACATTTTTAATTAAAGGGCCGACCTGTTTATTCCCCAGGGATATTAGAGGATTATTTTCACTAAAGGCACGCGCATACATAGTAAAACGTTTCATGTTAAATTTAATGCATTTCACATGTCCCAAATGCTCCATACAGATTTTTTGTATTAATTTAACACAAGGTGAATATATTAAAAAATAACATATGTCAAAAATTAACATAAAGTCAACATCTATAATATGTTAAACAATACTGCGTGTGATTAAGTATAAAATGCTATTTTCACACTTACACATGTTGAATATCGACTGAACATAAAACATATATATTGAAATAACAATATGTTAAATTAACATACTGATATATTAGGAATTTAACACAAAAATTTTAACAAGGACCGATATTAACGCAACTACAAAATGTGTTTTACTGTGTTATTTGGAATTGGGTGGAGGGAATGTTCTGCACGAATCTAACAAAAATATATAAAATATACAAAAATACAATTATATCCACGCGTATAAGCGACTTTATTTAATAAAAGAGAAGTGTCCTATAAAAAACGGGACACCGTGCGCTAATGGGTTAATGGAAACATGACGGGGACGCGGCGACAACACGTCGAGCCGTCGGAGCCGACGTAAGTTCGCAATTCCGGAAGCGAAGTCGCCTGCGCTTTCTAATCGACGCATCTCTAAATAAAGCGAACGGTGTCCTTACTGTCCCGCCGACTGCAGTCGGTGGCCGAAGCGGCTGCTCATCTGCCGACTCTACATTGAACTATCTGTTGCCTCTGGAGCGGCGCCAAGATCCGGTGAAATAAAGAAACGCCGTATGAGCGAAGGCTCGGGCTGGCGTTTCTCGTTCTCCCTCCGATCGACTTCCCGCCCCGATCATTATCCGAATACCCTCCACGCGGGTAATTATCGCGCGATGTAAACCGTCTCGTCGAATAACGCGCCGGGTGTATTTCCGTCGGCATAAGCAAACACGATCGGCGAGCGCGAAATAACGAGGGAACTAAACTCGGTTCATCTCGCCTTCGAAAATAGAACAATTAATACGTTGTATGTGTTTGTCTGACTTATTAATAATAGCTGGGTTTCACTCGGAAATGAATAAATTCTCCGGCGACTGGCGCCAAACCGGAGCCAAACATAATAATTTCCAGTGCGCGGCGCCATATTTTGTTGCTACTTTGCGCCTTTGTTAGTAATAATAGGCGTGAACAGTAATACTCAACTCGAATATTTACTGAACAATGCTTATTTATCCTACTGACGTTCCACGGTTGGAGCCGTTTTATCATCGATTGTGCACGTGACCGAGCGAGACGCGGGAATTACTGTAATAATAACTGATTTCTATATTATTAATATTTTCATCACAATTATCACGATAATTTTCGTGATAATTAATTGTCAATATTGAGTGAAAATTTGAGCGATTTTAGTGATAATGATGATTGATGGTGTAATTATGTTCCATTAACATAATGTTCTCTTAATATATATAATAAGTGTATTGTATTTTGATATAACGAAGCGCTCATTAAAAGATCGAAGATTCAAATTTTAACGATAGGCCGTGCGAAATAAACGCGTTACATGAAGTTGCAGATTACAAACGGATGAAAAATATGACAAACGCTTTTTCTCGTATCATTGAATATCGATCTTAATCATGGCTAAACAATTCAGCTTAAATATCGTCCAAAATGCATGACAAATTTTGGTATAAAAATGTAAACACACGTAAACACACACCATTACAACTTGACCGCTGAATAGCACGAGAACATTTGGAAACCTTACAATGCATAATTGAAGTGCAAAATTAAATATTACAAAATATGGGTGACCGATAGAAGAGGTAAGCGAAAGCATCTGGAACTTTTTAGCAGATTATTACCAATGAACGGACAATTATTTATATATTGCAAACTTTCCACATAATTAATGACAATATAAAAAAATCAGGAACATACCAAGAATGATTCAAAACTCCTAAAGCATCCTCGTGCAGCTCTTCCCATCTTCTCTCCGCATTTCGGAAACTAAATTATCCAGATGAATCATTACGTCTCGACCTATAGGCAGGACTACACTTGTCCTCAAATGTCACGTGTACGTCAACTTCCATCACCGCAAATCACAGATCACGAAATCGCAAAAAGTACCGCTTGTATCTGCACGGATTCGCAGAAAGCGCTCGAAAAGCTCTTACATGTATACGGGGAATCTTCCGGCTGGAGTTGTACAGGTCTAATGGAACGACCACTGAAATTTAATCTCACCATAGATAAAGATAAACCAGATAAACCCAAATCAAAACCGGTAAATTATCTCAGAACTTTGTGTAACATAATCACTTTTAGTCTCTGTGGATTTAAATTACCAATACGAAGCTGTGAAGAGCCAAGCACAGTATTTTAGTGTCATGAGGCAAAAAGAAAATTAAGAAAACATTTCTATTAACAACGTTCAAATTTCATGTATTGTCATACATTATCATATATTTGGATATTAAATTGAATATTGACAATACTTAAGATTTGAACGTTGTCAATATAAATGTCTTCTTAATTTTCTTTTTATCTCGTGGTGCTATAAAAAACTATGCTTCTTTATGACTTCATAATTACCTCATACTGATAATTTATAATTACTTTTCCTTGGTTCTGTAATTAACGACATATTTCACAATTAGGTATAAAAAATTGTTATAAATATGCCTTTTCGACTTATGCCAAAAAAGATAGAATGAAATGCATAATTAATTGTTATACAAATAAACCTTTTCGGCTTACGTTGAGAAAGTTAGAACAAAATCAATGAGTAATATAAAAATTAGAAATTGGAAAAAGTGATGTCGCTGAATGCTGACAAGTAAACTTTTAAAGCCCGCAGTAAAACGTCCCGATCCGTGCGAAGAACTTAACGATGAAATATTGGCGCGAGTAACTGCTGACCGTTTCAAGACCACATATCAAATAGATTACAGCGATCCTGGTGAATATATTTGGACAATACAACAAATATCGCACACGCATACATATGCGCGCGCAAACGTTAATTTTCTGATATGTTCTTGTATTTCCGTTTGCACTTAAAATTCTCATTTCATCAGCGGCCGCACGCATGGCGCAACGTGACAAGCCGTCGAGGATCGCCGAAAGAGATTGTGAGCAAATGCAGTGTTGCTTGCCAATTAGAGTTATTATACAACCTGATTCTCGGCCGCATTGTTATTCCCATCTCTCGAGAGACGACAAAACCTTGAAAGCCAAGAAATGCGATTCTCCACGAAAAGACGTACCAAAATGCGGAAAGAAGAAGAGCGAAGATGACGACAGAGGGCGCTTGTTACCTTGGAAATCGGAGTATCAAGATAGCATCGGCAAAATCGGTCATGGCATTATCAAAGTTAAATTGCATCACGCCAAAAGTAATGTTGTACCAGTGCGCATTACATCCAATTGAGGCTATCAGAAAATCTGCAATTAATTAAATATGCACAAACTTAATTTGAAGTGTGAAGTTAGACATCTCTGAATAAAACGTGAAAAATAAATAATGTACGAAGAATTATACGATGTATATTAATAATTTATATATCTCAAGAAACGCTGCGTTCAAAATTATACAAGTATATATTCACGTTTCAAAAGGAAAAAGAGAAGGACGATATTTACGTGAAAAAAAAAAAAACAAAATGGAAAAGAGTAGCTGAAAAAAATTCGCGATTGATATTCAGATTTTATTCGAGAGCGATATCAGCTACTTCAGATCGCATATCGTCATCGTATTTCGGTTTATTCAAAATGTCACGTGTTCGTTCACACAAAAATATGCGACCGCTAAATTAATCAGTTAATCGGCACCGTCCAGAGGTTTTGAGGAAACGATTATCTGCGCAGGATACAATCAAAATTTGCGAGTTGTAAAATGATCAAGGAAATAACCGAGTCGTTCATCGTTAGTGTTGTAATCGTGCTGTTGAACGCAATATTCCATTACGTGCTCTACAGAATAACCGTCGCATTGATTATACTGGTGAAAGATCAGGTCACTTGGATCTTCCCAAAAATGTTGAAATGCAGTTTTTCACGAAATGCCAGCGCAACTTTACCCAACATAAGCCCATCCTTACCTTCTTCCTCTTAGTCGATGTTTTCCGCCTCTTCGAGATACTGCAAATTCCCAGTGCAAGTTTCGCAAATTTATGGGAAGGAAACTCTTGCAAAATTGTCAGTTACAAAATTTCGAGTATACCGGAGATTTTTGTTACTATAATATATTGAAACTATAATTGGCTTTGTGAAAAATCTGTCATAGTAAAATTATCGCTATAATGGATTCCAATGTCCCGCTGTATCTCTCAAGATCCGATCTAGAGAATTGCAAATGTGACGTCCATGACTTTGAATATAAGAATATTAGGTAAGTATAAAGAGTTTTTACGAAGCAAATAATTTCTAGTAATTTTTTCTTTAGATACGCATATTTATCAAAATTATTTTATGATATTAATTAAGATCAAGTGTAGCTTTATAAATGCAGGTTATCGAATAAGTGAAGCCAGACAATAATTTTTCACAATAATAAAAGATTTCATAATTATTAAAAAATTATTATATGTATGTGGTATGGTAAGTACTGATTTGTTGACTACTTAGTTGTTTTGATAATTTCACTTCACGTTATATATAGCGGATAAATTTCTGTTTCGAAGGTACAAGCAATTGGCTGATAAGAAACGTCAATCCCGCAAAGTCAATCGCGAAAAGATAAGTTCCATGTTGCCGACGATGAACAGCGTTTCCGATGAAGTAACACAAAGCGTTTATAAAACAGATTATGGGAAAAGAGGTAAATTTGAAAAATCTCTAACGGAAGAAAAAAAAGACATAATCTGCTGGAAAATTTGGCGCTACATTTTGTACCATATTTTATATATCACGACGTCGAATTATTCTATGGGATCGGCCCGTCGTAGAATACAGTTCATTGATGACAGCGACGGATTCACCGATCGAACTACCTGCTAATTGGAAAGATGCTTACAGAGACCCGATCAGATTTAGGTATTCGGCTATGGAGTTTCCAACAACTCAACCTACCGAGACGAGTCTCTCGAAAGGTAAGTTGTCGAAATATCTAAAAAGTATCTACACTTATATACAAACAAGATGTACTAATAGTATATTACTAATTATGATTACTCTATTATGTTGTATGTTATATTATATAAAGCACGACGTTTCCAGTTCCAGAAACTGCGTCCTTTTGGGACAAGCCATTCGCAGGCTCTTCGGAATACATGGATAAAATCAGCAAACTGGCCTTGAACAATATGAAAAATCAACAACGATATTTGAAGCCTCTTCTCCCGATAACAAGCAACTTGGCGGTTGCAACCTGTGAGAGAATCTAAAGGGATGCATCATCTATGTAAAAGTTACCGACCGTGCAAATAAAGACATCAGAAATAAATACATGCGAACGATATGATATGTAAAATGCGTAACGTTCATAACGGAGAATTATAAAGAACAACTGGTAAATAGACTTTGAAGATTAATTAAATTTGCTTAGACCACAAAGAGATAACGCAATAACGGTCATATCGTTGTAAGGTAAAGGAAATGTGAAAACACACTGATAAGATACATCGGTTTCTTCCTTCTCTGTGTGTCCTTAAGTAGACAAGTTTTATTTATCACATTGCAATAGTCCGTTGTTAACAAGTTCCACAATGAAACTTTGTCTCGCGAACAATTTGTTTTCAAGTCATTTATCCACGTTCACTTAATTACGGGCTAATTAGGATCATCTAATTACTTACATGATCGTTTTGTTAAGCAATTAACCTGGTTTAGTACTTTGGTTGGTCCTCGTACATAAATTCACGGTATAGTAATTCTCAATGGCAAAAATATAATTAACTATGCTCAATTACTTGTACTGTAAACATAAACTGAATATATTAGTCAGTTACGTGAGCAGCTAAGTACAGTGAAAAAATCTAGAATATCTATAGTATTTACATCTCTCTCGTGTAACTGTACTCCTTACACATTTCACCTTGGTTTTCAATCAAAATGCTTTAATACAGAGAAACGATAACAGTATGAGCTTCTGTGATAATACATAATAATGGAATCACATAACTTATGATACAAAACTTATCTCCATACATATGCACATTTCACCAGCGAACTGAGAAAATTTGTATTTTCCAACTGATCATAGCTACCGTTTAACTAAAGTTTCACACAAGTGCATAACGTGCGTACAAATACAGAAAGCAATATAATAACTAATAACGCGCCTGCACTTATGTTGCATATACATAGATACGCAGTCGTAGTAGAGGAACTATTTGTTCTATTGATCCTTTTATCGCGTTATATCTGCTAATACCCCTCTGTTGTGCATCATCATCTGAATTGTTTACGCAACGGGAAGAAAAGCTGTCAGTGTTAATAGAATAATAGGTAAGCACAAGTGGCTTGTTTGTAGTTTTATCTTTACGCGTGATTCAGAGTATATTCATCACGAGTTGCGTTATTACCATATCTGCTTCGTAAGGCGTATGGTGGTTTCTTGACAAATCTTATTTTGCTGATTCGAGCGAATGAATCGAGATGGCAAATATATTTTCACGTAACGTTTCACGAGTTTGAATGAAATCAACTTTTTGACGAGACTTCCGTGAAAGATGATCGCGTAATTGTCAGATGTGAATTCAACATGTCTTCGAGATTTTGTCCGGTGCATATCTACATACCGTCGGTTTCGGCGTTACTGTTAGGGCACAATTTTACCACGTAGGCAGATATTAAAGACGCGGCTTCATAACTTTAAAACTAGTTTTCTTATTGGCCAAAGCTTCGGTACGTGCACACACGTTTTCCGAGCTGCGCCTGATGATGTCTATGTACTCGCTCGACGTCGGGATATCACACTGCGATTTCGCTTCGTCGTATAAACAGTTGTCCGGTTTCGGGACGCTTAGAATTGACCTCGTGTCTGGCTGGAAATTTGAAATGAACGACGTTTCACACATTGTAACGTTGTTAATAATGCATATAACATGGAACATCGATATTTACCGCTGGTTCGTTCACGATACTCTGCGACCATTTCTCAACGAGTTGGGAGTGATTTGACTTGTCCGATCTGTCAAAACGACCACGACATACGCGTACGTGTAAAATGTTAGAAATCGTTGATTCACACCTGTGAGGTCACATCTACTCACCTGGATTCGTCGTGTTCTTCCCGTAACGCAGTGTCCTTCGCGCACTCCTCCGGATAACTGCAGATGGAGTTTGTTCTTTGCTTTTGTTCCGATTCGCCATAAGTACACATATCGTCCAGAGACAAGCACGATTTAGCAAAACGTTCTCTGCTGTAAATGGCAGTTTCCCTGAACGGGCTTTGTTCGTGAACACTGTTAGTTTGCTCGCTGACGGTCGTGCTACTCGTGTCACAGTTCTGCGGAGCCTCATTACTCGAGCTACGCTCCTTGTTCCGTTCGCCGTCTCTTAACGCGCTATCTCTCGTCGCATCCCTCACATTTCTCAGACCGTCTTCCATCGGGAAAATATTATTATCGTCGTTTCCATCTCTCCTCGCGTGATTATCATTGGAGCCCTCGTCCGCGTCGTTTTGGCTACTGCTGAGAGCCATTTCGCAGCTGCTTATAGAATTGGAGCTCCTGTCCCGGGCGCTTACGGAACTTTCCAAGCTGTCCGCGACGTTCCTCGATTTGGAAACCGACGTGGGTATCATGATCTCTATGTTACTCTCAATAACAACCTTATCGCTAATGTCAGCAAAATTATTATCCTTAAGGGTAATGTTATCGATATTATTCAGAATGGCACTATTTAACGTCTCGTTACTGCTATTGCTCGACCTGTCCTTAGCCAGTACCAAGGCCTTATTGTCAATGGCACTCTCTTCCGACTTACAAATACGCTTCGACTGACTACCCAGCGCGGGCGACTGCACAGGCTTGTCTAACCCCTGATCCAAGGAAGAACCGAGGGTCGACTTGATGGTTTTCAATTGACTCATCGATCGCGAGGCGCGATGGCATTTTTCGAAAATTATCTTCTGCAGCGGCGGCGTGAGCGGTGGGTGTTGCTTGCCGTTCCCGACTTCGGTGTCCAACGATGAGTTCGAAAACGTTCGTTTCGAATGATCCAAACTGCGGGAAATGGCACACGGTTAAGTGTCGTCGTAACGGATGTACGAGGCGACAGCTGATGTTACATACTGTGCCTGATTTGGTTTGACGTTAATTAGCGTGGCGAGATTCGGCAGCGTCGCTCTTAAGTCGGTAGTCGGCAGGCCGCAGTACCACCGGAGTTGCGCTATATTTTTATTTAACAAATACACGGCGTAATGAAACTGCAGCTTATCCTTGCTTCGAGCGAACAGTGGGAATCTAAAAATAACGTTTATCGCGTTAACGACGATACATCTGTAAAAGTTCATCGTGGAAACAGATATCCTTACTGCTTGTCGTTGTCGGGCAAGCTCTCCGTAATTTGATCTATGATTTTACTGCGCGAGCCGTAGTGTATGATAGGATATCTCGTCGGTACGTTCAAAAAGTTCGCGATCATCTGCGTCGTGTGTGCGACGAAGCCCAATGCCACGGCCACTTGCGTATCGTTGGACAATTCCAATTCCTCACTGTCCGGCAAGTGAACGTCGTTTATCCTGAACTTTCCGGTATCTTCCTACGGAATCAAGAGAAACATCGGTCACTCGGTCCCGCGTCCGTAAACGAAACGATTCACCCAAGTTACGCGATCATTTTAGATCTTCTCCTAGACACCTTAGGTAAAAGTCATTAAAAACAGTACATGTTTTTCATATGATTTGTGAGATACTCAGTCACAAAGTAAGGTGAAGTCGAGGTAGATTTTTCTGCGTGTACAAAGTATATATCTGGCCTAAGTGCCTAAGCCAGTGTATAATGTATGACCTTGTCCTGCTTTTATTTCCATCGCGGGAACAACATTTTCCCAAACGAAAGAATCTCGCTACCACATAAAGTATCACAATGGGAATTATTATATTATATGGAACGCACCTGTCTGATTGGATATATTAAACTTAATTCTGATATTAACTGACGCCGCCTGTGCGCAAGTTGGCTACTTATTTGCAAATAAGTCTCCCTTGTATCTATATGATTCTGCCGCCACTCGTTCAGTCTTTCCACGTCTTTATTCAATTCCCTGTATCTCTCCATCAAATCAGAACCTAGGAAGAGAGAATACTTTCTTCTGTATTACTTCCTTTTTGTTTATCGTTTCTCCTCATATATCGTACGCGAGACGCTTCATAATTATAATAATTTCACAGTCATACTAACCATGATCTTGATTCTCTTCCACGATATTAGAATGCAATTGATTCAATATACGAATCTCCCCCATCTTACGCGCTCTCTCTTGTTCCAACAATTTTGTCCTAAACTTCGCCATTTCAAGCTCCTTACGTATTCTCATAATTTCAGCCTTCTTCTCCCTATTCACTTTCCGCGGTTGCAACAGTCTGTTCAATGTTGTCTGTGGATATTTAGGAGTATAAAAATCATCACCCGAAGCAATGCGTACTCTAAGTGCTTGTACTGATTCCGTTTGTTGCTTTAGTGCCTGCATTTTGCTTCTTAGACTGCTGAGCTTGTTCACGGTGTAACTGCTTTTCACTTCAGACCCATTCATACACATGTTGAGATATCGCCTTAAGTCTGGAGCTGTTATAAAGCAATGCACAGGGGCGAAGTATCCACCATGAAAGTGGAGTATTAAGGAATTTTCTCTTAAAATGGTTTCCAGATTCGCTGGTAGCTTAGGACCAATATAGGCTAATCCAGTAAATGATATACCCCATGAGAAGAAGGTTACGTCAGTTGTAGCATCACCTGCCATTGAACGCTTCCAGACTCTCAGAATAATCTCTATTGAAATGGACATGATAATCTTACTTTTAAATTTCTCACAGGAGTTAAACAAAATCAAAATGGAATATATCGTAAACATGACAATAAGCCAGTCACAAAAAAAGATTGCAAGCACATCCTTTCCAATGGGTCTCGCAACGCATCTCGTATCCAATAGGAAAATGCATCTCCTGAGAATAACTGAGAGACAAATTCTCCTCTTAGATACAGGATGCATCTGGAAACTAAGTAAAAGGAATGTGTCGCAACCTTTTTGTGAGTGATTGTACGTTTTTACCAAGAAACAGCATTTACTGTACTAACAGACTGCAAAGCTCACCACTGGCTGTTGAATAACCTGTGGCATATAGAGTAGGTACTTCCAGACTCAACCATCTCGGATTGGCATTGTCGATTGCCTCGCTTGTGTACAACGGAGACGACATACTCGTCCAGTGTAAAGTGTAATAGAACCAACATACTTCTCCATTTACATTCCCCGTTAGATTATGGCCTATTATCTGTATCAGATTCCTGAGCCTCAGCTGGAAAAAGAATGTTACAATGAAAATGAGATAACGCCCCTTCATCGTCTTATCCGATAAATGATGTTGCATTGTCCGGTTGATTTACGACTCACCTGCTGTGTGGCGAGGGGTAGCCAGGTTTTATACCGCGGGACAATTCGCGGCTGAAGCGTTAAATCTAAATCCTTGACGACGTTATGCGTTTCGGTAAACTCCATTGTGTAACTTCATAGTACCGCGATAACGTCGCATTCAGTCGCAGAAATTCAACCGCGATAAGAATTCGAGGAAGTGAGAGAGCACAGAGAGTAGTTTAATTGATAGCACGGATCATCACAATCGTACGCGCAGGTTAACTAGTTTTATTACAAGATGTGGTGTAAACAAATAAATTTGTATCCAGCGATTGTCCGACAGACGCGATCACAGGAGACGGCTTATCGTTGATTTTACGTGTCGACTTAAGTCATTAAACGACACGTAAGATCCACCGAGAGCACTCGTAATGACATTTAAGAAATTCTGACAGCTCGCATTGCCACTTATCGGTATTAGCGACTTCGGGTCGGGGGGAGCCTCGCAGGGTAACCACCTGTAAAAAAAGAAAAGGAGCTAGTTAGTCCCAGAGGTTAGTCTTCCGTAATTGTCCGTTCGCAAATCAGTCCCCGTGCTCGAGACGTCAGGTGAAATTCGCCAATATCGAAATTTTCGTCCTTATCATCGCGCAGTTTTTTACTCGGCGACAAGCACGATTAAAGTACGATGAAAAATTTACGATATACTCGATAGCTGCGCGTTCAGGCTTCGGGGAGCGAGCGGAAGAGAGAGAGAAAGTGTAGAGAGTGCAGCTAGCGAGTCGTGCCCGACGTGTATTAGCTGCGACCTTTGTTTACCTAAACCATTGTTCCCGCCCGGATCGCTGAAGCCGCTGCGGCACGAACGCCAACGACTCGCGTTAATCGTCGTCGCCGTGGTCGGTGGGACCAGTGCCTCATTGTTCGTGCCGCGAACGTTTTCACCAGCAGCGGGAAAACGGGAGAGGCGCGCGCGAGAGCGGATGCGGGTTCGCGCGACAACGCTCCGCGGGGCGACACGCGGCCCGCCTACGCCGCCTGCGGTGTACAGCACTGCGGCCAGTACAAAATGGTCGACGTGCCTTGACCGTGTCGCACGTAGGGTAGGCGATGCGAAACTGCGTTACCCCGTGCGAGCGAGCTGCACCGGACTCGACGGCGACGCGTATGCGACGTTAAATGGCTATCGCTGGATAATCGCGTCTCGGGTACGTATCCGTCGCGAGCCGCCGCGGGCTCGACGGGAGATCGCGATCGCGACCGATCCACCTGTCAATACGGACTCTCGCTTTCTCTCTCTCTCTCTCTCTCCTTCTCTTTCGGTACGACACACAAAGTGTGCGTCTCGGAGCGCGATGATCGGGCGCGTAAACGCCGCCCGATCTCGGTCGCGTCGTCTCGTCCGGGTGGCCGCTTCTTAACTTGGTTTCCTTCCGCGATCCCAGCGCGGAAGATTCCCACCGGGGAGATTCGTCGGTCCGCGGGCGCGTCTCGCGGTGAGAAACGTTCCCACGGCGCGCGCGGCGCCCGTGCGGCCGAAAACGAGGCGCCGTCGCGTCGCGCGATCTCTCGCCCGACGACTCGATTCTTCCCGGACGTTCGTCGCTCAGGTGATTTTCCGACTGTTGCAGTCTGCGGTCTTCGTGAAGAGAGTGCGAACGTGAGTGCGCCGTTGAGTATCCGCGAGGGAAACGGTGAGAAACGATGGAGAAGCGGCAGGAGGTGCTCGCCCCGTTTTCCTCCGGTGAGTCCCTGTGCGTTGCCCGTAGGACTTCGCCCTAGGCTTTCTCCGTCTGTCATGAGAGAGCGCGTGGGGGTGCAGGTGTTTGTTGTGTAGGCGAGTACACGTTGGATTCATCGAGTCGAATCAAACTGTGTCCTCCTTACTCACGGATTATCTTCGTCTGGTGTGTAAGATGCATGCGTGCATGTGTAAATTGAACAGTCATCACAAACGAGATACTAATCTTCATGTGTTTGGCCACATTTAACGAAAAAAACATTAGATTGTTTACTTGAAAGCTTGAGATGGGCCAGGATAGGTCGGTCTCCCTCTTTCTCTCTCTCTCTCTCTCTCTCTCTCTCTCTCTCTCTCTGCTAGGATTATATGAAAATATATCTACTCGCTTGCCATAGAGGTTTCCGTCTTGGTTCCTATCTTACACATTGATAAGAATAATCTAGCGGCCATTATGTCACAGTCTTAAAATATACGGACTACGTAGCTATGTCCTTTGCTAGAAGCATTTCCCTATTGGACAAAGGATATCATGGGTGTGATGATGAGGTGAAGGCGGTTATTTTTTACTTTTGCGAGACCAGTTGACAGGGCTTATCAGAAATGAATGCTAAGTAAAGCGTTGGAAAAAATAAATGTGCGACGGAGTGGTATGCATTTTATATGTGCGCATATAATTGTCTCTCGATGCGTACACATACGTGCCATTGCTATTTACGTCTGAACGGAAACAAAAGAGTGTGCCTCAGGTGTGATCAATACCAAATCAGTCTGAGGAGCATTCGCTACATTGTACAATATGTAACGCGTATGCACACGTTGTATCGATTTTATATTACTTGTTAATCGCGCGCATTGGACACATTATTTCTCAATTAAGAGACGATTCCATAAAGGGCGGAACGCAGTTAAATTGCCATTATACTCAAGCCTCGCCAGCGCGCCTCTTCACCTCAGAATTCATTTTGTTTCGAACGTATTTTTAGGAAATAACGGGATTCAAGCTTGCGGGGAATTTCTGTTTTTATTACGTTTATATTTCACCCTTGCACACACGCACGCACACGAGCAAGATCAGTATCTCCGGGGGGTGAAGCGTTCTGACCCGTGTGTTGAATTTTCGCCGGCGCGTTTAGCACGTTAGAGCGACAGTATCAACGCTGAATGACCGCGGTAAAACGTTTACCGCGACATTCTATTACGGAAATCCCATCGTGGGAGTAACGCAGTGCCTAATAACGGTAACAATGTTTAACTCTAAGCGCTAAGGCTTACTAGCCACACGGAAAATAATACAGTTAGTCCTTTTTTTTCTTTTTGTTTTATAGCTTGCTTGGTTATCTGCGACATTTTAACGAACAGAGGGAGAGAGAGAGAAGGAGGGAGAGCGAGGAGAGGGTGAAAGAGAGAGAGAGAGAGAGAGAGAGAGAGAGAGAGAGAGAGAGGGAGAGATGCGAAAATCGACGTGGCATTTAAAAGAGAGGCGTATTGGAGCTTTCTCCGGGCGCGAAGAAAAGCGACAACGAGTTCGCCATTATTCTTTAATAAATGCGAAATTCTGTTGCGTCATCCGTAAACGGTAAAAATTACCGTAAACGCTATAAGGGCTTAGACATAGATGAATGCAGTAAGGAATGAGAAATTAAACTCAGGTAATTAGGAACAAGGAATTAAATTTCAACATGCAGACGACCATTCTTCAGTCCACAATAAAAAAATAAGGAACTAGGATTAGGAACACTGTCGAAATTCTGTTTTTTGTAATTTGTGTGCTTGTAGAACTTAGTACGCAGAGAAAAAGATTTCTTTGGATTTAATATTATTTCTTTAATTGAAGCAAATTTGTTTTTGGAATAAAGCAAACAAGCGAATATTTGATTCGATAAACAGGATTATTTGGTTTCTTATACAATAAATATCTTTACGTCAAATAAATCAGATTTCTCTTGTATTTTTCATTCAATCATTACAATAGTTGGTTGTCACGAGCGATAAATTATTTGAAAGAAATAAAACTATGTTAGGAAAATATAGAACTTGTTTTTTTTTTATTTCAATAGAACAATATTTAATATATAATGAGATAATTTTTTTTACTGAGAGAGAATATTATTTCCTCTAAATAAAACTGTTTTTCCCCTCAAATAAATATGGATTATTCTAGTGAAACGATAACATTTTTATTCAAACAAAGTGATATTTGATATTAAATTGTTGTTTATATTAAAGAAACCCAAGTGTCAAACGTGTATACTAAAGTGTCAAACGTGTATACTAAATTTACAGAAATCTTTTCTCTATGTAATTAATTGAAAGTTAACTTTTGAAATATCTGATGATTATCAGCATACGAATGAAAGTTTGAATTAGTCGATAATTGTCAAGAAAATGATAAGTGTTAATGGAACGGTTAATGGACGGTAGAAATTCACTAGAAGGTAATAAAAGTGGTAATCTCTCGCTTTAAGACGCGTAATATTTTAATCTCTACTCCTCTTCTATTGTGCCTTCAACTGTAGCTTATTTCTAATATCTGATTCTTAATTCCCTAAGTTTAATCCCGTATTCTTCTCATTGCGTCCGAGCTCTAAGGCTTTCCATTGCGTGACAAATAGATAAGTATCGCTCGTGTGCGAGGAGATCTCGCGATGAGAGGACGATCGTTCCGGGGCTGCTGGCGATGGCGGCGTTCCGCCGCTAAAATCATTACCGCCGGAATATTAAATAACGCCGATAATATCGACTCGAAGCGTGTCGCCGCGGCCTACATTCAAATGCCAGCTGGAGCAAATACAGTCGTGTCTCTCGCGGATTGCCCCTGGTAACCGATGACGCCCGAAGGGTTGTTGTTTGCGTCGGCGGCCGCGATGGCGAAACCTTTCCGCGGCGAGAAGGCGGACGACGGAAAACTGTCAGACAAAGAAGCGGCGGCGCACGCCTGTATGCCGTGAAACACGCATTATTCGAACATCTGCGCGCAGATGAAACGCTTATTGGCAAATTGAAGTATCTGGTTACTTATTGTGCCTAGACACGCCGTTCGCATTCATGCGCCTCCGTGCAAATGTGTCCATCAGATTTCGCGTTTCATTCGCCTCGGTGTAAAGATTTTATGCAACGATATCTCCGGCTGAGAATCGGGGCTACGTTACACGTAGCGTGAAATGCCTTGTTAAAGAGAGACGTCGTTTTCAAGAAGACTATTTTGAGTAGAACACTAAAGTAAGAGCGAATGGAGTTTATCTTGAATGAATCTCAACGCGTGATATTTCATGTCTAATTTCTTTTCTTTTTTCTCTTTATAGGTAGAAGTATAAGCAAGTGTATTTTGCTTTGAATGGATCTCAACGTGACGTTTGATGTCTGATTTGTTTCTTTTCCCCCTTCTTTCTTCGGATAGACTGAACTAGAAGCAAGTGTATTTTATTTTGGATGAATCGCAACATGAGATTCGACGTATGGTCTGTTTTTCTTTCTTAATACCAATATCGACTGACTGATTTCTGTCGAGCCGATTCTTCGTCTCTCCCCCTTTCGTTAGCAAGAAAAGACGCAAAGGTCAATTAAACTCCAGTTACCGTTAATCGACCGTGAAACTGAACACTGTACATAAAGACACTCGGCGTTGCAAGAGCGTCAGAATCGTCCCCGAAGGAACGTTCATAGTAGCTCAAAAAAAAAAAGACGGTCCTCGAAAACTCAAAATAATCTGAAAGGTGCGGAAAAGACATTCGAATGCGGCGTCCGAAGATCTGTTTCGAGGCAGTTCGCAGCTCTCTCCGGGTGGAAAGATACAAATCTGACAAATATCGCCGATACCGCCGGCGACGGTGGTGGTGGTGGTGGTGGAGGCAGCGAGTTGAAGGTTGGCGGCGGGTTACAGGGTCGGGGGTGGCGGGAGAGACGGGGGTGGCGCGCGCGGACCAACGGATCAATTCGCGCTCGGGAGCTACAGGGGGAAAAGCAACAGTCTGTCAGCCCCTTTCTATCCGGAAAAGTGCTCGCCACGGTACGCTATCTCGCGCTCTCGCTCCAGTTCGCCGAGGATGACGACGACGACGTTGTCGCTTAAGTGAAACCCGCGGCGCGACATTGCGAGTCCTATTTTCGGGAAGATCGCGAAATTTTCGCCGAGAGAGAGAGAGAGAGAATCTCCCGGGAAAACAAAGTCGCGGGCGGCACGCGGTGTGCCGCGTACGTTAATTCGCCTCGAACAACGACCCGTGAGAAACCCTCTCCGCGAACTCCTATACGCGTTTCGGTCGGGCGTCGACATTGTTAACGCGCCCGGAATTATACCGTAGATCCTCCGGAGGAATTAAGAACCGCGGCACGAGTCGTACTCGGAGTTAATAGCAGCGTCGGCGGCGGCTTCGCAATCAGCTGTAAAAGCGAGAGAGTTACGTGAAGAGTTACGATTCTCCGGTCGTTTCTCACGAACGAGATATGCGAGATCGTTCGAGCCCGCGCTCGGTGTACTATTCGACCTGCGGAATGAACAATTGCGCGGATAACGAGGTCCCGTTTCCATTCATCTTTCATTCGATTTCGCTCCGGTCATCGTCGTCGTCATCATCGAACCGCGAGATTCTGAAGATCGTGATCACATCGAACCCGACACCGAGCCGACCGACGCTCGACAGTGCCGCCTGGCAAAGGGTAGGCCGCAGGGGATGCTCTTAGTCGACGTTACCGTTCATCCGCGCGCACTTGAGGGCCGACTTGAGCGGAAAAGCGCGCAGTCACACACACACACACACACACCACTAGCCGCCCCATCGGCGGAATATAATTTGACCTGATTTCCATTGAATATGCCTTTATACGCGCCGTCGTCGTCGTCGTCATCGCGGAGTCTGAGATGAGGGGGCCGCAACGCGCGATTGTTGGGAGTCGTCGTTTGTTCGCGGTCCGCGAGTCAATAGGCGCGAGGGACGTTTCGCTATCGGTTTTCTGGCTATCTCTCTCCCCCGCGCGCTGAGAACTCCTCCTCGCGGATGCTCCCTCTCTCTCTCTCTCTCTTTTACTCGCTTGCTATCTCGCGCGCCGGCCGTACCAGAGGCCTGCACCTTTCCGCGCGACGCGTCAGTAAACTACTTCGCACGCTACTTTTTATTGCCTCTCCTCCTCCGCTGCCGCGCGCGCTATCGAGCGACGAAAACACCCGCACACGTCGTCCTCTCGCGCTAATGTGCTCCCGAGGGGGAGAGAGGGGAGCGAGGGAGGCAGAGGAAGGAGGAAGATGGAGCTGAGTAGCGTTTTTCTCGACTCCGGCGCGAAATCAGTGCGGTAACGCGGCGCGAGTAACGAGAGCGTGCCGCGATGATGTCGCCGGCTACGAGGGTGCCTCCGACCGAGAACGACGATTCTAAGCGGGCCCGACGGTGGTGTGCTTGCAGACGAGTGTCCGAACAGCGGCGAAGACAGCGAGGAGGATGTAATAACCGATTATCTCGGCTCATCGCACTCCGACTGCGATCGTGTGCCTATCATTAATGGGGATTTGCGCGGCCTGAGCCTGCACGGCGGCATCATCACCGAGACCGGTTACACCAAAGACAATACCGTGAAAACGCCGATCAGCATGTCGGCGGTCGGCATTGGTGGCGACGAGCAACACCAGCAGCAACAGCAACAGCAGCACCACCAGCAGCATCATCAGCAGCAGCACCCGTTGCTCACACTCGGCACTAATATACAAGCCCAGCCTAATCCTCTGGTGCCCATCATCAGCGTCACGCCGCATTCGCCCGGTCTGGCCAAGAACTATCCGGTGCTAGGTAAGGTTCCGGTCGTCGGAATTTCTCATATAAAGCAGAGACCGGAGACGCCAGTTCGTAGTCTTGTCGCCGTGTAGGCAGGGACTCTCGGCCGGGACTGAAATCGATAGCCGTGTCGTAACTGGTTTTTTTTTTTCTTTCTTTTTTTTTCGTAGTTGAGTCGCACCGAAATTTTATGAAGCCGATAGAACTGGAATCGAAACTGCGTTCACCGCTCAATTGTACTCTGTGAATGAAATTGAATCAGACCGAAGCGGGCGAAACTCGTCGAACTGAACGAACAAGTCAAGGCTACTTTGGACTGTGCAGGCGTGCGATGCACTAGCTGTTGTTGCCGGGAGATTGTCAGCGGTTTCTTTAATTTTTTGCTAAACTTTTTAACAATGTACTTTAATTTTTACTTCAATCTTTTCTTCAATTAATATCCGAGTAATTATCGTTCGCAAAATGGTGAAAGACTGTCCAGTTCAACGAGTACCTGCACGTGAGCGGATGTGCCCGGGTTTCAAAACAGTTTGAACGTCTTTTCGACACGCAGTTCGGAACGCAATCCGATGAGAGAACTCGTTTTCGGGAAGTGAATGTTCTCACTGGACCATCGGCTGTGTTCTCAACAGCATCAAGAAAGATGCGTTCGGACCACTTTGAAATTCATAGCGAATTTAATCACCCGCACTACAGCGCATTAGTATATGCTGAAAACTGCTATACATGAAGCGGTTACTTAAATAAAAATCAGCATTTTGAACGATTAAACGCCTTCTAATAATATTGTTACGTTATTTTAGCAGAATGTACACTAATTATTTCATCGTCAAATGCTATCGTTCTCACATTGTATTTGGATACTTTATGTACAGCGGCCTTTTAGTGAGCATTAATATGGCGGGTGATCGAATTCGCTATCCCCGTGTACCTGTCAGGGTAATACAGGTAATACAAGGTGTCAAACACCCTGTATTAACATGTTTACGTCAATCGCACCGCCGGACGTGCGCAAAGTTAAGATAGAGGCGTACGATGGTACATGATGACAAATCGCTTGCTTCGCATCCTCACAGAGGAGAATCTGCAACAGCTGCACGAGATCCACGACTGCATCCAGCGTATGCGAGACCAGACCTTGAACACTCCCGGATACTATCGCGCGTCCAACGCCGCGCAACGGTTGACCTCGTCATGCCCGACCTTGTGCCCGCTGACCTCGGCCGAGCTCGCACCCCGTCCCGGCAATCATCATCACGACACCGGCTCCGACCCGGACCTCCTCGCCAACTGTTCCACGAACAGTTCCCCGACGCACTTCCCGGGCCCGGCCGGCCACCCTCGCTCACAACGGACGCAGACAGGTATAGACAGGAGACGCAGTTGGACCGGGGATCTGGAGGACTTGGAGGAGAATCGACGCAGCGGCGGCGGCGGCCGTCGCCGGTACTCCGGGCAGAATCACCTGCAGGCTCAGAATATGGTTAATATTGCCCGTTACTTGTTGGAACCGGAGGTTGCGGCCGGTTCGATTTCGGTGAGTTCAAGCTTCGATGCCGCGGATCTTGATGCTACGGAAGGAATATCGTTGCGATCGCGAACGAATAAATCTTCGAGATTGAAGCCGGCTCGAGTGCAAAGTCCGGAGAATGCGGATTGATTTTGCATCGGCTCTGGGATATTTTGAAGCAAAATGGCGGGCCAATCGATGGTTGTCGTACACTTCGCATCACTTCGAATACCACTACGTCGCAAAGTGACAAAATTTCAAACACTGACAGATATAACGATTGAGATGAGGAAAGATTACAATGTCATGTTTCTGCTTCGTAACGTCTGCGTATCTGCTCTTATTTATTTTTAATTCAACAAGTTTGGGTCATAACGTATATTGTTTACCTGTCTATAACAGATAAATCCAAGGAATGAATGTGTAATATAAAAAAATTATTACAATGCGCACACTCGGCACAATTTGTCGCACAGCTTACGATGATAGAATCCTCAGGCAAGTAACTGATAACTATTGTGACGGCATTTTCCTTCGAAATAACAGATTTTCCAGAGTCGGTATTCAAAGTACTCTGTTAGAAACGCACCTCGCGCCCCCTCCTCAGCATCGAGATCTGAACTCGTCGAAATTGGTCGGCTCCAACGGCCGTTGTCACGAGATCACACTCTACATACACCCGACGAGACGATGGCATGGCTCTCTCTGAGATAGCTTCGTTGTTCTCTTTACATATATATATATACGCATTTGCGCTTATACGCCAAGGCCGTCGCTAATGTCGCTCTCTCACGCATTCAATCACAACGTATTCCGTTTACTCCGTTTTTCAGCGACAACGCAGCATTAGTTTAAGTAGCCTAGACAGCGAGAACGAGCTAGAATTAGATGGAAAATCGTGCACCGGACCTGTAGCCGTAGGCAATCGGGCATGCAGGTCGCAGACGAGTACACACTCCCTGAACGAAGCTGATCTTGTACAGGTAATTTCTCACGAGATACTTCCACCTCCTCTTCCCTCTCCTCCTCCCCCGCCGAGAGGATCCCGCCGTTTACGATACGTTCGGCAGGGACGACCGACTACTACATGGCAAATTTTTCTTTGACAGAGCGAATATCAGAAGATAGTCACAAAGAGGGGTAGTCAGAGATTAGCAGAAAGTAGCAGTTTAATGCCAGGACTGACTGGTTCGCGTTTACCTCTTCAGAAATCCATATCGACGCCTTCGATCGTTACGCCGCAGGTTCACGCGCATTTAGGCGAAGCCGGAACTCGAACGACGCCTTCACTCGCAGCGTAAGTCCGTTATCACCACGACTCACGAAAGATCGCAAAGCCAGACCGAGGAGACAAGTTGTTTGTTTCGAGGAAGCTTGTTAAAGTGAGGACGTTCACGTGTACGCGAACGTACGAGGGGATGTACAGTCGTAATCTAGCTTGCGATCTTGGTATACAAATTTCCGCACTAAAAGCTATGCGCACATTTTGTGCGTGCGCGTCCATGTGTGCCCAGGCACCCATGTACGTGCACATCTCTTCACGCGTACGTTTATATATCTCATCGATTTTCCTCAACTTTTGGCACACACTGGTAGAAAACTCATCTCTCGGAAACGAGCGCAAACGCAATCCATGCATGAACATTTTTACTAAACTGGTAGCAATAAATCTCAGAGACGTCTACAATCATGAATGCCTGAAACGTTTTGCATTATATGTAGAATCTTTCTTTTTAGAATCGACTGCTCGCGTATTGTCGTAATTTCAGCTGACGTGTGTCACATTATATCTCGCGATAGCGATATTCGATAATATTCGATGCGCACTTCGCCCGGTCAGCGGTAGCGGGTATATTTAATATCTTAAAACTTTCCCATTTCACACGACACGAAAATAGCCGCAACATCAATAATAATAGTAATAATAGCGCGTATCCGTTATTAATTTGATTAGTAGTTTCATCTTTCATTAACCATTCTTGCCGATCGTATGACTTTGCTGAGCGCGCGAGCAGTTTCTCACGTCAGATATATATGTGTGTGTATATATATATATATATTCTTCTGTAATATAGTATCTCGGATCGGTTTTGAGAATATTTATAACGCAATATATACTTTCATTATACACGATAGTTGCTTAGTTTGTGTTTGTACTTGAACATTTGCTACTGCGATCCTGCATGAAACAGCCGTCATGAAAGAAACGAAAAGGGTAGTGGGAGTGAGACAGAGACCGAGGATCTTCATACATCACACAGCCACGAATTTCACGAAGACCGGGAGGGCACTCCGAGTGCCCAGATATCCCTTGACGAGCTCTTGACCGAGTGAGTACTACCTCGACGCCTTAAATCCTTCATACTATGCCGAATTATACACGATACCACGGGATATCTTTTACGTCTCTGTGATGGACACGGTTTGTACCAGTTTTACCGGTCGGTCGATCGATCGATTGATTTTGTAGCCACAAATAGCCCGTAGTTTATGCTACAACTGCAAGAGCAGACGCAGAGTCGGATTAGCGCGTCGGACAATTGCTTTGAGATGACACGTTTGTAGCTTCGTTTGTGATATCAATTAAGAGACACATAATATGCGGGCGATTTGATGACCGTTTAAGACTCGTTTGAGCAGGGAACGTACGCCGAATATACGCTAGAAACGTCAGTGTACAAAAAAGAAATTATTATGTCACATTGTCTATGCATGTTTTATACATCTTTCTTTCAAATACGTAGCGTTGGCTGCACATATTTATACGACTATTACACACCGTTTTTATCTCTTGTGATAAGCTGTTTGGATAGATCGAGACGCTTCCATTAGTTGCACCGCTGATCATTCACAAAATACAATTTCAAATACCCGCTCCGCATTGAAAGTCGAACAACGTCGACATGTGATCTTCGTTTTCAGTGGTACCGCGTACGATGATCATCATTCGGAGAAAACCAGAAGGAAGCGTGGCTCGATCTTCTTCCGTAAGAAGAAGGTGAGGGCGGCAATTGAGATCGTATTTACGTCGATATCTGGTTTAAAAACCTTGCTCGATCTTATCGTTTAATCTTACCTCAGGACAAAAGCGGCAAAAAGACTAGTCAGCAGCAACATCTGTGGGTGACGATGACTGTGGGAACTCAGGGAAGCTTACCATGTGATGTTTGTATGAAACACTCGACAAATAAACCGTTCCTCCACTGCGATAGTAAGAGAAAAACCATTGCGATATTATTAAAGAGGTTGTAAAGCGAAATGAGACAAGAATTCAATGAAACGTGCACTGCGTATGCGTTGAAATATTATCTAACTGCTCATGCAATTGGAAAAAGATCGACCCGAGAGCTGAAATATCTGCAACTGAAGTTAACAGTATTTTATACGTGTTCCTTAAGATTAGCTCTACTACTGCTGCTTTAAATTTATATTTTTAACACCTGATAAAATAAAAATAAAATTTTGAAGCTACTAATGATATTCAAGATTAATGTACAGTGGCCTCCTTGATGCGCCACTGAACTGAATATGAATACACTCAGCCTTACAACCTCCTTGAACATCAAACGATTCCTCGGCATGACGATGTGACATTAATCGACTTTTCAAAACCAGATTGCGGAGCGTCGGTTCACCAGAGTCAAGGATGCAAGGATCAGCTGGGGCTGGAATGCGTCAAGTCCAAGCATCATTCCAGCAAGTCTGCCTCGAAGTCCTCGTCGAACGCCTCCACGATGTCGAGCAGCAACAGCGTGAAACGGGGCTCCACGACGTCGTTGCCCCTGCCAACGTCATCCGGAAGCGGAAGGTAATGATAAACCACCCCCGAACGGATTACACACCTTTTGCATTGGATCTGCGTATCTGTGGTTCGAGATTCGCACGCAAATGGCATGGCTGGGCCTAAGCTCGGAGTTCGTGATCGACTCCTTTTACCTGTGTTACAAACGAGTAACGAGTAACTCGGATCACGTAGAGATACGGTCGATTCAATCGGGGGCTCGTTGTCTCACGATCTGTGCGCGATGCGTGACTTTCGCGGGAAGAAAAACGAAAACGTACCGTTTTCCATTCGATCGGCCGGAGGACGCTTCACTTGTTGCGCATTGAGACACGCACATAGATAGCACAATACATTGATACATAAAGTGTGGGGGGGGGGGGGGNTATGCTTGTTACTCCGAGGCTTTGGCTCGCTCAGAAGCTTATTATTTCTGGTTAATTTGGCAGTTTAGCAAGATCAATAGTACGGCAAGCTTTAGCGCGTTCAGCCTCGCGCCGCTACATTTTGGATTGATATATATAATACCGTTTACATATATATATTATTATACGTACTATATACTTGTACAGAATACCATGCCCAGACCTCAGCTAGCTCTCGGTTTGCTCTTACACAAGCCACGGAGATAATACTGTAGCGGCCGATATCGCCAGTTATTTCACGACGATCACACCGAGTGTGGTCGTCGTCGAGCACATTCACATAACTCCGAGAATTATTCAGTTTTCTCAGCCTCGATCTTGATTGTGTTGTCACGTCGATCAAAAGAGAAATGAAACAAGACCACGTATATGCACCGGTAGACGAATTGTATAAAAAGGCTCTTGCGTGTGGGGAACGACTCGTTAAGATATATGCGATTGCCGACACGCGTAAGGTCGTAAATAAAAAAAAAAGAAAGAAAGAAGTAGCGAGGGAAATGGAGATGGAGGAAAAACAAAGCCAAAAGGCGAGATGAAGTTGCCCTAATGCAGTGTGTGCTTTTTCCTTCTCCCGTGCATTCCCCCTCGTGCAACCACCGTGAAACTGATCGATTGTACGACGATTAAAGGGAAATTAACAGCAAGAAAACCGTGTCAAGCTACAGCCCTTGGCGGCGAGTTGCCACTAAGCTTGGAGTCAAGTAAGTCTCTGATATCTGATGTGTTGCTCCTATTCTGTCGAAAGCGTTCCGTTCGTTTCTGTTCGTGTGTTAAGTCCTACACGTCTAATAGGAAGACGCGCGTCTCTCGTTCCTCGACTCTTTCCTCGCACACGTATTACACGCACACACGACACACACATCATGCGCAGACACACGTACACGCACATACACGCACACACATACATGCATATGTTGTGTCCACGACCACCAGCGTACGGCAATCGACTTGCCGGCCCGTTTCAGACCCGGATGAGACATCATCTTGCCCTGCCTGTGCTTCTGATCTTGTGCTTGCTTCTATAATTTGTGCCCGGTTCAATGATATAATTTGTGTTACCTCTTCGTTGTAATCTTCGCCTAAATTACAGTGCGTAAGTTCACGAGTGTTAGTCCGTAAGATGAATCTCTCACAAATGACGAGTATATACGAATCGAACGTTTGTATATAAAAAATTAATACATATAATATAATTATACGTAATTATATTATATCATGTATAAAGTTTTATATACAGGATGTTACATAATATACTGTACAAACTTGAGGAGCATATTTCGGATGTAGATTGAAGTGGAAAATGTTCCTATAAACGTCGCTCCGATTCGAAAATTATTCATTTACAAGTGTTCAAAATTTATAAACGGTAGCGCAATTTTTTATTGAAAGTGAAAAATAAAAACAAAGATAACACGAAGATTACAGAAATTGATTGAACTGATGACTTTTCGACATTGATACACGATACGATGCAATCTAAAATAGAGATTGAGTAGCCGTACGAACATCATGATCCGATATCAGTTCTATACTTGTTCACACGCGTCATTAATACGCTGTATTAATTCAACTCGAGTATTAACTTTCCCTTCGTATATTAAACTTGTAATTTTTATGTTTTCTTTCGTTATTTTCCATTTTTAATAAAAAAAAAATATTCCCAAAAATTGTGCTATAATTTATTTTAAACGCTTGTAAATGGGAAACCGTTCCGAATTTGGCCCATGTTCCAAGAACGTTTTCTACTTCGATTTACGTCAGAAATATGTTCCTTAAATTTGCACGGTATGTCGTGTGTAACACCCTGTATATATATAATTATATATTCATATATATATCGCAGTAGGCACGTGTTCATGCCATTCATCACCGGTTCCCCCCCCCCCTTTCTGTCCTTTCATTCGTATACCTTACCCCCCATCAAACGTATGGTTTTGTCACGTTTCTTTACCACATCGTTCCCAAGTTCCTCGATGTTTCTCAACATGAAACTCTCACATTAGACTGGTTCACGTTCATGCGTGCGAATTAATTAGCTAAGTTTTCGGTCGGGCTGGGATTGTGGTCTAACGGATGGTGTTCTTCGGATAATTCGGCGATGCAATGCGCCGCATTGCGATGTTAGAGAGAGAGAAGCTTAAGAGCGAACCGCAGCATCTGAGATAGGAGCGTAGAAGACAAAGCGGTCACACTTTTGTTACGCGTGACGCATGTCCCAGCCGGCGACCGGAGAACTCTCAGAGTTTCCGGCTCTCTCGCAGTTTATCGCGCTCATTCCGCGAATGGCTTTGCTAATATCAATATCAAGGATTTCTTGATCTCTCTTGCTCTCTATCTCTTTCTCTCTATCTCTTCTCTCTCTTTCACTATTTCTGAACACTAGCTTTGTTAGCTGTGCATTGCGACGAGCGACGATAATTATATATATAATAATATATATATCATACGACGATGCAGTAACTCGACAATGTATCGGATACATATTGACTGCGTAATAAGAATTAGACGAGAATTCACGTGCGTTTAAACGAAGATACGAAGTGTATCGCCTTATACACGCAAGGTTTGTATCGATGGTCACACTGAGAGAAAGAAAAAAAAAAGAAAAAAGGAAAGAAAGTAAAAAAGATAAAATAGAGTTGGTATATACATATAAGTGCTACCGCATAATATTAATTCGCAGTCTTGTCGAAAGGCCGGCACGGTATTTCAGTATATTATTGTCAAGAGTCTTTCAAGACAAGCTGGAGTCCGGGTCCTAACATTGTATATGCATCGTTTAGGGAAGAAGTAAGACATCTTCTTTTGATCGCAGTTTAGTGCTTTCTGAAACAAAGCTATATCTTTCTTTCAGTCAAACGATAAACGAAGAGAAAGATGGGGATGGCGGGCAACATCGCGACCTTCCCAGGTTTGTAGATCTCACATCTCTTTTCTCTCCTCTCTTCTTGCGACCTTAGACGTTACCGAGTAAATTTTGGCCCACACGAATATCGATATAGCGAAATACACACACTGTCCGTCCGAGATATACACATCCGTAAAACGCTGCAAAGAAAACGCAACGAGGCCGACTAACGAACCGACTCTCCTACCTCGTTTCAGCGGATGGGAGGAATTTGATTTCGGGGACGATCACCAGTTCACCGTGGGAGACCTCGAGGAGATCGACCCCGAGCTGGGGTTGGGCAAGGAGGAGCCGGATTCTTGGAGCGCCGCCATCGGGCGTAACGTCGCGCTGCGCCTCGTCGACCATTGCGAGCGCGAGGTGAAGCGGCAAGAGCACATCTACGAGTTCGTGCTGACGGAGAAGCACCACTGTCTGGTGCTGCTCGCTATGGAGAGAATCTTCGCGGAGGGTCTGCGACGTCACTTCCGGCTGGGCCAGCCGGACCTCGAGCGTATGTTTCCGCGGCTGCGCGACCTGATCGACATCCACCTGCGGTTCTTGCAGAAGCTGCGCAAGCGGCAGAACGCTCATTCCGTGGTCAACACGATCGCCGATATCTTGGTCGAGCAGTTCTCCGACGAGAACGCGCAGCGCATGAAGAGCGCCTACGGGGAGTTCTGCAGCCGCCATAGGGACGCCGTCGAGGCGTACAAGTACTATCAGCGTCACGATCCGCGCTTTGCTCGTTTCGTCCGCCACTGTCAGGTACGCTTCCAACGCGAATATCAGCTCCACTCGATGGTCTTTTTTCATAGCGTGTACACTTGTCGATGTATTTCTACGTATGTTTACACATTTACATTTTACTTTTTTTTTTTTTAATAGCGTGAGATAATAATATATCACCTGGAATATTTTCGAGAAGTAGAAATATTTCAACGTTTGAACGAAGATAGAGAAAAAGTTTACGTCCGAAGTGATGACTATTGGTATCGACGCAATTTCTCTCGGATACATTTTCCTCCTACGCTCGTATTTCGAAGATGTTCAAGATGATGTAACGGTTATTGCCTCACCCTGTATATTTGACAAATGCTTCGTTCGTAATAATACTCGAAATCATTGTTAATGGAGAAAGACTTGTGGGTCGAGATCAATCATTATTTGGGTAGACTGCAGAACGATTTAGCGGAATAATTCCTTTCCGTGTCCTCAGACGAATCCGTTATTGAAGAAGAAGGGTATACCCGAGTGTATACTGTTCGTTACTCAACGTCTGACGAAGTACCCACTGCTGGTGGAGCCGCTCATCAAGACTGGCATCGTGCAGGAGGAGGGTGAAAACTTACGCAAAGCACTGGTACTTGTTAAGGAGATTTTAGCTGACGTAGATGCCTGCGTAGCCGACAAGGAGCGAGAGGATAGGAAATTAGAAATATACAATAAGTGAGTCGATTCTGTACTTTCTTTCCTCGATCGTTCTCTTTTCTCTCTTCTCACACTCGTTCGTCCTTCCTCCGTGATCACGGATGATCGTTTTATCGCAGGATCGACGCGAAGTCCTTTGCGACATACCGTGGTGCCAAATTCAAAAAGTCGGACATAATGTCGTCCAACAGGATCCTGAAGTTCGAGGGCACCGCATACTTAATGCAAGGCCGTGGCAAAATGACTGCCATCGTAGTGGTCGTTCTCTCAGACATATTATTTTTCTTGGCTGAGAGGGATCAGAAATATGCGTTCTTCGTGCCTGACAATAAAGCCGGTATAGTGTCGCTGCAGAAGCTGCTGGTCCGCGAGAAGGCCGGCCAGGAGTCTAGCATTTACATAATAAGCAGCAACCCGGCCGAACCGGAGATGTTCGAGCTCAAAATTCAGAAGCCAAAGGACAAGCAGCTGTGGATCAAGTCGATTCGATCGGCGGTCGAGGCCTGTCCGCAGGAGCCCGAGAACGAAACCGAGTCGTTGAGCGAAAGCAGCAGCGAATTGCGTGATACTCGCTCGTCCTCGATCTCGCTGGTGTCCGTCGAGGAAAAGCAGCGCATCGTCAAAGCGAAGGAGTCGCATATACTTAGAATCGTCGGTATGTATCTTTCTCTTGCTCGACTCTCTTCGATTCGTCATTCCTACTGTTGTTTTCGCCCATAAGTAGAGATTTATTTCATTCGCTCATTCATTTAGAAACATTTACTTTTACATTCATGACATAAATAAATGCTCATGAAAAAATCAATATTTATATTCATAAATTTCGCGTCTCTCAGGGGAGTTGAGGAAGAAAGACGCAGAGCAGGCATTGCTGTTCGAAGAGAAGATGAATCTGCAAATGCGGCTTTCGCACGCGGCGAAGATTTGGAGCGCGAACGAGGGCGACAACGAGAGAGCCGATAAGCTCTGGAAGGAGGGTCCCGATTACGCTCGGTTGGTACACAACGAAGGGACCGACACCACTCAGGTGTGGCAAGAGGTAAGTCTCGGTGTTTTCCGACGTCACTATCGAGTCTGCGATTCATCAGCGCGTTGAGCCCGCGAATCTGAGGTTTGTGGAAATACAAATTCCTCGTACACAGGTGGTGATGGCCGTGCAAGAAGCGACACGTCTCGCGAGCTCGCTGTCGTTCGGCGCAGGTGGCGCTACTCTCTCGAGAAGCTTGAGTTCCGCCGGTGAACGACACAGCGAGGCTTACGTTCCGCCGGCCCTTTGCGTTCCCCGAAGGGCCGAGACGTTCGCTGGTTTCGATCACAGTAAAGTACGTACCGAAGAAGACGTGATCAGAAAGACGATAAGGATTTTTAGCTGGATCGCTGACTTGTCGGTTCAAGGCAGCGTTTTGCAACTTGGAATTTTTCTCCGTCCGTCTGGAGTCGTAGACTAAAAAGTCTTTCTGTTCGCTACATTTATTAGTTTATTAGATATTATCAAATCGCGCGCGATGTGACAAAGATCGTCGTGCGATGGGGGAAAAAGAAATTAATTCAGACAAGGATTTTAGAACACCTTGTGTCAAAATTACAAGCCAGCCGCTCTGCCGGGGCCCTGAGCAAGTACACGACGGCACTTTGCGTTCCAGGAGCGGCACCCGCTGCGTGACTCGAACGCCGTGATTCCCGTGCCGAAGCTCGGCGAGCTGCCGAAGGAGAACCCCGACGAAAAAGATAGCCAAGAGTTGGAGACGAATAAAGATCAACATCTGGCGGCGCTGCATTTGTCTCATCACGTTTACACGTTGCTCTGCATAATAAACAATCAGATGACAACGATCGACAGCCTGCAGGCGCAATTGGCCTTGTGCAAGGAGGGAAGCGTGCCCATGTCGAAGCCCGCCAGCAGCCGGCCGAACTCGAATCGCCAGCTGGAGGAGCTGCGGAACCTGCAGGACCAGCTCTGCCGGGAGAAGGCCGCGTTCCGCGCCGCCTCTCAGCAGGAGAAGAACCAGCTGGAGGAGGAGCGCACCGAGCTGGCGCGGCAGAGGGAGCAGTTGGTCGCGGAGCAGCGGGACGTGACGCAGCAACGGGATCAGCTGTACCGACGGCTGGAGGCCTTGGAACGACAAGGCGTCACGTTGGTCGGCGGCTCCGCCAGCTCGACGACGATTCATCTGTCCCACCTGGCGCAGAACGCCGAACTGGTGCAGACGCGCAAGTCCCAACCCGAGGCCAAGCGTATCCCTCTGAACTTGATCAGTGCGACGAATCAGCAGAAGGTGCAGAGCAACCTACCGGTCAAGCAGCAATTGCCTCTCAAGTTAGCCAGCGGCAGTAACAACAATGCAAGGTAGAGAGAGAGAGACACTTTATGCGAGTTACTGTATCGTGCGATAAGACGGATACGAGATGATACGCCCGTTATTCTCACCTGAACCACGTGCGATGGCCTTAAGCAAATTGATCCACCGCTTTATCGCTTGAGTTCTGAGTCCGATGTTCATTTCGCCTTACGATCGACAGAAGCGGCAGCACCGCGAGCAATAACAGCCCGGACCGGCACTCCCGCGCGGGCAGCAGCCCGGCCGTCGTCACTGGCTCCGCGTACTCGTCGCCGGAGCTCGGCAACAGCCACGCCGGCAGCAGCCACTCGTCGTCGAATCGCTCGCTCCGCATCACTCGCTCGCCCCCGGACTCGTACGCGCATCAGCATCAACAACGCGGGGATCCGCCACCGCAGCCGCCGCCGCAGCAACCGCTGGAGGAAGAGGTGATCTTTTTCTGACGGCTCTTTCGATTCGGTCGCAAACATTCGCGTTCTTCGCGCGCGACCACCGGCGTGGCCACGCCAACCTCTACGCCGACACCGTCGCGCAGCCAAACGAGGAACAGTCAGCCCCGCAGCCGCGTCAAGTCCTTTTGACTTTCGACGTTCTCGCAGTAATGACGCTGTGCCACCTCTGCTTTCGCACAAGCATCCGCTTCTCATCCCGATCCTTCGTCATTTCCACCCAGTCTTCTTCTCCTTTTTCTTCTTCTACTATTTCTTATTCTCGCATCTATCCACCTATCGGCCGCTCTCGTGTTATATTCTGCCTTAGTGTGTGTGTGTGTGTGTGACCTACCTTCCCCTTTCCTTCGTTCCGGGTTTCATCGTTTCACCGGTAGCAAACCTAGACGGTTATTCATTTCACGACGTGGCCCGTGAAACCAAGATGACCGTCTGTTTCATGACGAGGTCGTAAATAGCTTCCATCACACCAGTCAGCATAATACGATATTCCATCTTGTCCGCCACGACGACAGCGCCGATGTTGTCAATAAACGCGAATAATCTATTCTGTGGATATAGTCGAGAGAGAGAGAAGGATGAAAATAACACGATTATATGCTCCAACTGTTACTGATGGCAATAATATCATTTTTATGCCAAATGTCACGATATATATACTATTACCTTGACGAAGGAACACGTTAAGTGTAATTATAAAGTGTAATTGTAAAGTGTAATTTCTATTAGCTATCAGAGAAAGAGAGGGGGGGAAGGGGGGAAAGAGAGAGATGGGAAAAAGAGTGAAAAGGAAAAAAAAAGTATTAACGGCCGGCTTTGCGAAGTAGATCAGCCGATCTTGTTGAATTCTTGCGTCGTTACGTTATCAAGCCGACTGACACTGTTTTAGAGACACAGATTTTAGATGAATCTTTTAAGCAAACCTGTTGCTGCTTGCTGAAATGCAAGGTAGATAAAAAGTACATATATATGTATATATGGATATATATATGTCTATATACATATATATACATACATACATATACATACATATATATATTACGGTTACATATATCCATGGATGTGTACATATATATACTTTTTCATAAGCATACGTGTGGCACGCATATATGATTGTATATGCGTGCGTGTGTATGTGTGCGAGCATGTGCAATTGAGTGAAACGACGAGTGCAAATGCGTGTGTGTATGTGTTGCGCGTTCAATTCATCTTCGTGAACGCATGCTGCTGAGAAGACGCGGGCGAGTCTGCGGTAGCTATTCTTATATCGTAACTTTTAAAGTATTTTAATACGCGCTAAAGTAAGATTTATCATTAACAATTTATTATTTTATTATCATGGTTATTATTATTATTATTATTATTGTGTGTGCCAAGTCGTTGATCGAAGTCGATATTTCGTTTTCTCGAAACACCTGCCCTACAGACGAGACTCCGTTACTATCCTCTTCGACTTTAGAAACCAAGTCTGCGCGTATTATCGTTGTACATGATAAACACGCTATGTAAAATGGAATTATACACCACTTCGGTTCTTCCGCGTGACGAGTGGCGGGTTTGGGGGGGG